GTTCTTCAACATGGTAAAATTTGTTTCCCCAACTTCAGTCATTTTTACCTTCCCTTGCGTGTTTTACTTCAAACCCACAGACCACTGTGTATTATTTTCACAAATGTTTCCATATCTTCACATCACCCACCTTGTTATTTACTTAATGTTTTTCTTTAACTATTGGTTCTTAAATAGATTCTAAAAGTAAACTTCATATGACTATGACAATGGAAAACCAGAATCATATTTCATATAAAGGGAATCACTGTAAAATTTGCCTCAATGAAACCAAAAAATCTTATTAAGTTCCATCTAGAAGTGGTGACCAACTAAAAAGGCTTAGTGCCTGAGTACTGATTGCTTGTTCACTATTTTCTTTCAAAAAGGATTTTTGCAATTGCCAGACAGGAGTTAAAAATACACAGTTAAAGACACAGTAGCACCAAATAGAGAACTTTTTCTTCTGTAATCAAAAGGAATGAAAGAGAATTGAAAAGAGATTAATTTTCTCTCCATGTGATTCATTAGTGTTTAAGGTAATACTCACTTCACACCTAAAATCACCTCATGATTGCCATTGGTACACATTCCAAATTTGGGAAATCACTGGTATAGTGGAAAGAATATACTACTCCAGGCAACAGATACTGACTCTGGAATCAACTCTGTCTACCTCATTTGAGACTACATGCAAACACTATGATTTCCATGGGCCTCATATTTCTCAATAAAATTAGGAATTTGGATTTCGTATCAAATGGGGTGGGCTAGGCTATGCTATGATAACAAACCACCACCCGATCTCACTGGCTGTATTGGTATTTGTTGGTTGTATTTGTAGTTGTTGTTCAAACAGCAAATTTAGTTTTCCCTCCATCCTCTAGTTCTGTGCAAGTCAGCGGGGTCACTTTCCTACCACTATCTGGAATAGCACTGGTTACAGGAAAATCATGCACAGCCTCTTAAAGTTTTTGTCCCGGAATAACATTTGTTACTCTGCTCACTTTTCATTGGCAAACACATATCATGTGGCCACACTGAGTTCGAAGTCCATAGGGAATTTGACCTTCTACTATGGTCTGAGAAGTCGGAAGTGCCAAAATATTTGTGAATAGTCATAGCAAAGTCCATCAACTTAATGTTTTCTACAGTTCTTTGTATTGATTAAATTCTATACTTATAAAAAAAAAGGCAATGTATGAGATTTCTGAAATTTGTCAGATTATATAGTTTGGAAGTTTTTTTAAACATAAAATTGATATTATAGTAATGGACCACATTTTATTCTTCAAAGATCCACTTTAATCACATTAAAACTTTCAGGAGATTAAAATCTGATGGAAACTATCCAACCAGGATTTTAATGGTTAAAAGTGAAGAAAAGATTTTTTGTTTTGTTTTGGTCTTGAGTGCTACTTAGATAACACAAAAACACATGACCAAAATCAGTTTGATGCTAGTAGGAATTGTGCAGAATAAAAGAAAATAAATGTGTTTAAAAACATGTAAAGGTTAGGAAAGTTTTATAATCATTAAATAGCTAAGGTCTGAGGTTAGCGGAAAAGCATGGCATGATCTCCATTAACGTGCCCTCGTTCTAAACGTACAGGCTCACATGTCAGCCATGGGCTTGCCATGCCTGGTTTGATTTGTCTTCTTCAGTTACCACTCAGTTACTAACATAACCAGGCTCAGTGCCTCCTCCTCAGCATGGCTTGGCCGTCACATGTAAAAGTGATCTGGTTTGTTTAAACAGAATATTTTCTTACTGTTCTCCTTGTTCTTATATATCATAGCAGAAAGCTTTCAGTTAATAAACCACTGCCCACATGTCAAAATAGGTGACAGAACCTTCAAGGGAACATCCAATCAGAAGATCAATAATATCACCATAGTTTGTGCCATGCACTCTGGAATGTGACCACTCTGCCTTTTGGTCCATTGCCAATATATTCCATCTTCTATGAGTCTCATATTCTTGGAGTATTAGTCTTCTCTCTCCCACTTGATTAAAAACTTCTTGAGCACAGAAACCAAGCCGTGCGCTTCTTTTGGGTCAACCACAATACCTAAAACAGCGTTGAGCACATAGTTAAAGTCCCCAAAGCTTTTTTTTATTTTCCTGGTGACACCCACGGGGAAGACAGAAGACTTTTATTTCTTCATTTGAAAAAATATGTTTGAGCAGCAACCGCATAGCCTGGACTGTGTAAAGTTTGGGTAAACAACAGAAAACAAGCTACAAACCCTTGTACAAATCCAGTCAGGGTCAGTTTTGTCTCCTACGGGACACTTGGCAATGTCTGGACATAGTTTTGCTTGTCACAACTGAGGTGGGGCTACTGCTGGCATCTAGTGGGCAGGGGCAAAGGATATTGCTAAACAGCTTCCAAAGCACAGGAAAACCCCTACACCAAGCCAGTTGCCCAGCCCAGGATGGCGACTGTACCCAAGTGGAAAACAATTTTAATACAAGCTTACTAATAATGGTACTGCCTTTCCCCCCAAAGCTCGTAGTGGCAGTAATTTCCATATTTGTATCTCATTAAATGATGTGACACTGATAAGGACAACTCTGGATGCGGCCACTTGACAAAACCTGTATAAAGGAGTCACTAAGATGACTTTGTTATTGAGAAGACTTTTGTGGCTGGAGATAGAAATAGTTTTTTTCCAGTATTGCCTTAGAATAGAATTAGAATCTAACTCATTAACAGAAAAAAAGATAATAGTAGGTGAGGTGAAGTTTAGAAAAGCTATATTTATATTACAGTTGTATTTCTGAATCCCTGATAAGTACTGTGGCTACTCCACAGCTTGAGCTGTAGTTAATGGTCTAAGACTCAAATTCTCTTTGCTCAAGGGTCTTGAGAAGAAAAGTAATTTCCTATGTAATAGTAAATACATAATGCAATAACAACATTTCAAATGGATAAGCAATATCCAGCTCACATACAGGGATTTTTTTTAACCAGATAAAGACAAATCAGCATAAAGCAGAATCATTGGAATTTTGCAGCCTCACCTTCTTGCCAGTACTCCAAAGTTTAGTTCCAAAATCCTGGGCTCAGTAGTTTAATGCAAACTCACATTTGTTTGACAGTAAAATCTCCACTAGGACAGGGCTAGCCTAGAGTTGAGGAATGGCCTGTGTGTGACCTAATTGTACCTAACCTGGGGGCAAGTGCCAGAAGGCAATGCCCCATTTATGTCTATTACCGCAAAACTTCAATAAAATGTTAACCCTTGCCCATCAGAGCTCCGAAGAATTATAGCAATAAAAAGTTTCAAGGATATCCATCATACCTTCTTTCCTACATGAGAGCTTCTAGGAAACCTATTTTTCTTTGCAGGTTAGTGTCTGTTTCTTTTCTCACTCTCTCTCTCCCTTACTTTCTCTCTCTCTCTCTCTCTCTCCTCTCACCTCTCTTTTTTCAAATGTCTTGTAGAATATAGTCAGATGGCATAATCTGCTCTTTGTATCTCTTTTGCTTTTCTACCTCACCTAGAGTAGAATTAGAAAACTCCTCATATCTCTGTCTTTATATTTGTTGATCTGTTACTGCATTTTACCCTTTTTTTGTTCTTTAGCTGTATGTCTTTTTCATTCAATTGACCTTTCTTAAGAACTAAACAGATGCCTTCCTTGTTTTAGTAACTGAATTGTTTTCCATTTTAAAAGTTCATGCATTTATTCACCCAATTCTTTAACATATAATTATTGAATACTTAATTATATTCCTGGTTCATGTTAGGAACTAAGAATATGATAATTAAAATATACACTGCTTCTTTTTTTTTTTTTTCATTGCTTCTACCCTCACATGTCTTATAGTCTTTGGAGAAGATAGACAAGCAACCTGGCAATGATATCACAGTGTGATAAGCTCTTTGATAGCGTAAGTAGAGTTCTATGAGAGAAAACCGAAGAGGCAACTAAACTGGTTCTAAACAAGCTAAGTCTTGAGGAACAACTGCTGGAGGTTTGGACATCTATGCTCAAATGTGAGGGATTAGGCAAAATTACATTACTGACAATGGAAAAGTGGTCATTCCAAATGGTGGGAACAGTATACAGACAGTGACATGATCAGATGTGTATTTTCAAAATATCATTCTCTATTCCATACAATACTATAGTAGGGGCAGGATTGCAGACAGGGAGACCCAGCAGGAGCCTGTTGTCATTGTCCCTTTAAAAGTGATATTGGCTTGCTATAGAAGAGAGACAGAAGAAATTGAAAGAGATTGAGTATAATTATTGTTAGTTGGGGATAAGGGTGGGAGAGGTGAGGCTCATGTCGAGGTCTCTGACTCGGTCAATTAGTAGATGCTGGTACCATTTCTTGAGCTGGAGAACCAGCAAAAGGAGTGGGAGCACAGAAGCTTGAGGGGAGACAGAATAGGTTGAGTTTAATTGTAGCCACATTCCACATTCTGTTTGAGTTACCTAGGGGGCTTTCTCATGGGGGGATGGGGGTGCAGTTGGCTATAGGAATCTGAAACACGGGAGCAAAGCAAGCATGGTAAATAAACTTTGGACATAAGATTTTTTCCTTAATGGGATGAATACATTGTGCATATATTAAGGTGATCATTTCCAGTATAGATCGAGGACTAAAGGCTCTCTAGTCCAGTTCTTGATAACTATCATCAAAGGCTTTGGCCATTTTTGCTTATCACCATACACCTGCTTTACTTACTGATGTCTTTGTCAGCACGTTGGATCAAAATAATTGTATTGATCTCTTATATTTGTATAGACTTTCACAGTTTACTGAAGTTCTTTCCCATAAAGCTCTGGACAAAGTCTCAAGTCTGTGAGCTGGCATTGTCAGAAGCAGCCTAGGGCCAGGAAACCAGGATAGAACCACAGAGCAGGAGTTCTAATGAGGTTGCTGCAACTATTTATTCTGGGGTCACAGCCAGTGTTCAGAACCAGAAGTCACAGAGTTAACCAAGCCAAGGCCCAAGTTCCAAGCCAAGAGTCAGAGCCAAGGCTATGGGCAAAGCCAAGAAGCAGTCACAGGATTAGCACATCGGAACAAGCCCCAGAACTGCTGTTGAACCCATGGTCCTCCCTCAGGCTCTGTGTCCTTTGGAGGCATTCTCTTGCCACGGACTGGCACTCTCAGAGGAATTCCATGGATGAAGTGGGAATGGGAGAACTGAGGATTTCCCCTGCTTCTACAGGAACTTCACCTTAGAGAACACAACCAGAATCCCATCGAAAGCATCTTGACTACTTTCTGCACATTCTCTTAAGACAGGTAAGGTTATTCAAAACAAAACAAAAACTTTGAGTTTTATTTATGAATTTATTAAAATTCCCAGATGCAAAAAAACCCCAACACATTACTTTACATTAAATTAAAATCGACAGGAGAAAATAATCTAAGTTTGGTTGGACTTCTTTCAGAAAATCTTAAAAATAGAAAATCCCAAACTCTAGTTTCAGTAATTTCCCATGACATCTTATGCTAGGTCTTCCTTTATTTGCCCTCTTCTGAAGAAATTCAAGCATAATCCCTAGATTATTTCCTTTATGTTTGTCTCAGCTTTGATGTAGCCAAAAAACCCTACAATACACCCAGGTAAGAAACCTAAACTATTACTGAATCTGCATTTTCAGAAATAAACTCAGCAAAATAGATGCCTTTTTAAACATAATTTTAAATAGAGAATACAGTCAGATGGGTCAATAATTTGAAAAGTATACAGTGAAACTTCCATTCTCAGCTCGCCTCCTCTGTTTAGTTGCACACCACTGCCCACAAAGGTAATCACTGTCATTAATTTCTGGTTATTTCTTTAGAGCTTTGTTATGAACATCTAAGCAGAAATAGACACGTGTTCTCATTTCTCCCCCTTATAAGCAAAACACAGCACACTAAGCACATGGCTGTGAACCTTGCTATATTCCATGTAAGCGCAGAAGTTTCTCAGTTCTTTTTAGTTGTGTAGTATTCTATTGTATAGGTGTACCATAATTAATTTAATTAATTTAGTTTAGTTATTTAGCCTTATATAGCCTTATATAGACACTTGTTTCCAGTCTTTTACTATTACAAGTAATATAGCAATGAATAATCTGCTGCCTACATCATTTTGCATATATGCAAATACATATGTAGAAAAAATTACCCGAAGTGAAATTGATGAATTAGGTGTTTACACTTAAAATTTTCATGGATACAGCTAAATAGCATTCTATAGCACCATCACTTTCACCTTCCTGAAGCCTCAGCAACAAACTTTTAGATTTTTGCCAATTTGTAAGTGAAACACTGTGGCCCTTGACACGGTTTAGTTTCTCTCTTATTGTGGGTGTTATTGAGCATCTTTTCATATATATAAGAGCCAAAGGTGTGTTTCATTTTCACAACCTTTGCCCACATATAAGTTGTTGGTATTTTTTAATCATTGATTTCTAGAATATTTTAAATTGAGATATAATTGACATACAACATTATAGTAGCTGCAGGTGTACAACATAATTCAATGAATGTATATATTGGGAAATGATCACCACAATAACATCAAGGATTGCATATAGTTACATTTTTTTTCTTGTGATGAGAACTTTTAAGATCTAGAATATGTTTATGGCATTTGCCCTTTTCCCACAGTGTGAGTTGTGAGTACTTTTCCCAGAGTTTTATCTTTTGACGTTTATATATTGGTTTTGGCCATGCACAAATTCAAATATTGTTATGTGTCAAATCTATTAATTTGTTTTTGGCTTCTAAAATAAATTAGGAATAAAAGCATACTTTAACATGATAAGAATATATCTATTTCTTCTCCCAATCTAGCATCATACTTATGCATTCTAGTGAATACACTAGATATGGGCATAAAACAAGAATGCCCAATATCACCACTATGATTAGCATTGTATGAAAAGTACTGACCAACAAAATAAAAAAGAGAATGAAAATGAAAGTTAAAGACATACCTAGACATAACCAAAAAAATAATTTATAAGACTCACATGAAGAAATCTTGTAAATGCTACTGAATGACAAAGAAAAGAAGACTTGAGCTAATGGAAAGACATACCATTTCCTTGGACTGAAGACCCAACATCATAAAGACACCAATTTGCCTTAAGTTAACTTATTTCTTTGATGTATAGCCCTCCCCCCAAATAACAACTGGGTGTTTTTGTGTTTGTTTTTGTTTAGCTGGTTGGTTTGTTCTATGTTGTTTTTTCTTGTTTTAAGAAATAGACAAGATAGGAGCACTGGGTATTATATGCAAGCAATGAATCATGGAACACTACATCAAAAACTAATGGTGTAATGTATGGCGATTAACATAACATAATAAAAAAAAAGAAATAGACAAGATAACTGTAATATTCATATGGAAAAATAAATACAAAAGAATATCCAGGAAACCTTTGATACAGAAAATCAATAAAGATAAATTAGCTCTACAATATTAAAAATATATTCTAAATTCTTGATGATGAAAAAAGTATGTTAGTATCACATGAATACTAACAGAGTAGTAAAATATTATAGTAAACCAAAAATAGACCTAATACATACAGAAATGTAGCTTCTGATAAAGAGGGCATCTCAAATCAGTGGATAAAGGTGAACTATTCCATAAAGGCTGCTGGGACACCTGGAGAGTCATCAAAACACCATACTGGATCTATACTTCATACACTCCAAATACCAGGTAAATTCAAAATGCATCAATATTCATCAAAAGAAGGAGGAGGAGGAGGAAGAGAAGGAGAAAAGAAAGAAGGGAGGGAGAGAGGGAGGAATAAAGCACTAAAAATACATCCTAGGTGGTTTCTTTTACAACCTTGAAATGGAGATTTCTATCTATGAAGCAAATATACATTTCAATATTTTCCTAAAGTTTCTGTACAATTCAAAAACCTTAGGGAAAATTTTTTTCTTACATAATGTCAACTGATGTCAAACCCTAGGCAGACATTTTTGAGAAAACAATGAGTAATCTTTTTTTTTCAAGCAGAAAGATATATGCTGGAATGTCAAAGGACTATAAACACAGGGAATAAGATTTTAAAGTTGAAATGCAGAAAAAATTCTGAGTGATCTCTCAAGTTAAGTATGTTATGCCCTTGTGTATTTTTAAAAGAACATGGATGATAGTGGTTTAGAGTCAGAAGATATAGGCTTAAGTTTCTATTCTCTTTCTTACCAACCATATGATCTTGGAAAAATTACTTAATCTTTCTGAAATTTAATTTTCTAATTAACAAATGGAATTAATAAAATAATTCCTGTCAAAATCACCAAGTTACTGCTTGGATCAAATAATCTTCTCTGAAAATACTCTAATCTGTAAAAACTATATAAATGTTCATTGTTACTTAATATGTTATATATTTAAGCACTGCAGATGTATATCTATTTTAATATAAGAAATTCTGAGTAATCAAGCATATGGAGATACTCTATACAGCATCCTAGCAGTCTTGGAATTTATAGGGTACAAGTTAGAACAAGTTTATTACCGTCTATGAAACTCCACTTTATTGATTTGTGCCTTACTATTTAAAACTAAATTGGAAGAATGTGTAGAAAAATCATTGTTCCAAATGGTATACTGTCATTTGCCTGAGGTCAATGGATAGAGGCAATAGCAGGTGTCATGAGGAATTGTGGCAGAGGCAAATTCATGATGCCCATCCCTGAAGCCAGTCCACACAGCAGAGCACACAGCAGAGTCTTGGCAAGGACATCTGAGCTCCAGAAGAAGCAAAGAAAGCAGCATCTCTTCTCATTCTGAACTACCACCCTTGTATCCAAGCCTTCCTATCAATGGAATCCAAAGGGACATGTTAATGGCAAAACAGAAAATGATGGCCTCTTCTTCCCTCTGGGTTTTTATAACACAGAGAATAGAACTTTTAGATACAATGTGTGACTTATATTTCTGACAAGAAAAAAATTATTTTTAAATAAGGATGCTGGGAAGGGGGAGTGGCTTTGGTTTTGCTTTAGAATTTTAACTCTTATAGGCAGGCGGGGCCAATTTAATCCAAGAAGCCCTGTGTACAAATACCCAGAGGGACTCTTTAATTTCAGAAAATAACATGATTTCCTGAGAATGATTAGTGATGAAAATGATTAATGATGAAAAAGGTATATAGGTTGTTAGAAATAATTACATACTATAAAGGACAGATAGTATATTCTGATCCCATTGTCTGTTCTCAAGAACAAAACAAATTAAAAATCAAAAAAAAATAAAAATTTTCCCTTCTCCTCCCCTGTAAAGAAAGAAAATAGAAGAAGAAAATGTTTTGTGATCAAGAAAAATATTTTGGGGGGTGCCTGGGTGGCTCAGTCGTTAAGCATCTGCCTTCGGCTCGGGTCATGATCCCAGGGTCCTGGGATCGAGCCCACATCGGGCTCTCTGCTCAGCAGGAAGCCTGCTTCTTCCTCTCGCACTCCCCCTGCTGTGTTCCCTCTCTCGCTGTGTCTCTGTCAAATAAATAAATAAAATCTTTAAAAAAGAAAAAAAAAAGAAAAATATTTTTTTTGTGGGGAGCCTGGGTGGCTCAGTTGGTTAAGCATCCAACTCTTAATTTCAGCTCAGGTCATGATCTCAGGGTGCTAGGACTCTGCATTCAGCGGGCGTCTGCTTGTGATTCTCTCTCTCTCCCTCTGCCCCTACCCCTGTTCATGCTCTCTCTCCCTCTTTCTTTCTCTCTCTCATATATATGTATATATACAGTTGTCAAAATCTGAAGAAAAAGAACTAAGAAAATTCAGGAAAGTAGACTACAGCTGGATAACTGTTCTTTGAGCCTTGGAGATGGAAGGTTCTTGCATTTTGTATTTTTTTAAATTATATATTGATACTCCAAAAACATCTACTTGATGTTATTTCTCTCCTTAAAATATTAAATATGAACAGGCTTTACTTTTTAAGTAATTGGTAATAGAAAACTGTGTTTACATCATGCTTTAGAGTTGCTGGGTGCATTCATATACACACTATCCCATTTTTATTTTGAGTTACATCAGCCTTAGAAATATCTAGCTATTTTCTTCACAAGCGATTACAGCGTATATTCCCTTATCTGCAATTTGGAGATATAAAAAGTTTTGAAAATAAAAAAAAACACACATATATATACACATATATATAAAATATATATATACACATATATAAATAAATATATAATATATAATAAATAATATATAATAATATATACAAAAACATACATATATATAATAAATAAATCTTAAATCGAAGGAAGGAAGGAAAATTT